GCTTCAAGCTCCTGTTGCTAAGACTTCCGAGCCATAACAGACTGAACTCTAGACTGTGAGGAAAAATAAACTCTTCCCTTCTAAAAGCTGCCTTTGTTGGGGGCAATTCTGTCATAGCAACAAAACAACTAATACAGAAAATTGGTCAGAAGTGGGGTCATTTTTCATAAGCATGACTGTGTGGTTCCTAGGCCTTTAGAATGGAGCTGTGGGAGGACATGTAAGAGCCTGCAACTTTGGGTTAGAAAAGCTCTTCTCTTTGATGATGTGGAAGAGCTTACTGGGCTCTGTTGGTAGGAGTTAAGAATTCCATAGGCAAGAAAGATGTGGGTAGTGGGAGTCTGAGTTCTGAGACTTCAGAGGAAGACAAGAACTCTTGGAAACAATGGAAGAAAACATTCATGTTATGTTTAGGCAAAGAATCTAGCTGCATTTTTGCACTTGTCTTGAGGACTTAAGTGAAGTTGAATATAAAAATAATTAACTAGTCAGACATGATAGGACACACCTTCAATCCCAGCACCTGGAAGGCAAAGGCAGATAAAGCTCTATGAGTTCAAGGCTGGTCTGATCTATACAAAGAGTTCCGGTCAGTCAGGGCTTCCCAGTGAGACCTTGTCTCAAAACAATAACAACATCACCCAAGCCACCACCACTAACAACAAATCAGTGCAAAACAAACAAAATAATTGATGTGTTTGGCAGAGGAGATTTCAAGGCAGGCTAGCATTCAGCCTGTGGTATTGTTTTTGTTCATCACAGTTAAAGAAAGAGCAACAGGTGGGCAGAAGTTTTCTTTTTTTAAGTTAATAGTTTGTCAAGAAAAAGAGATTGGGTAATTTTAAATTGCAGTCAATGCACACATTAAAAGCAAGTTTAGTTGTTCAAGAGAAATAGTCTCCCTTTCACTGGGATAACAGAAAACTGCCATGAGGATTGGATTTTTATTTATTTGGGAGCCTCACCCATCGAAGGCTCCAGCTTTTGAAAATACAATTTCATTTGAAAGCAGAACGAGTCAGCTGGGAATGCTGCTGGAGGACTGCCTTGTTTCTGGAAAGAGCCTGCCTAAGGAAGTATTTCCTCATGGATAGTGAGTACAGGCTACTATAGCAGGTTCAAGGAGACAAGTCTCCATTGTGAGCTGGCAGTAGAACTTAGAAGTGCCCTCCATATGATATGGTTCTAGTTGGATAGGATATAAGATGCAAGATTAAGGAGATCATGGAGTCTTATACCATAGTTTCAGAGAACAACTGAGACTAGGCAATATGACAGGACTGGAGTCCCTGAGAGGTTACTGTATGATGCTATGAAAGTGGAGGAATCTCAGGTCTCAGTTTAAACTTAAAAATTAACTTCCCCAGGGACATATCCCAGGAGGAGCACATTCTAAAGACTTACACACACATTCCAGGAGAAGGGCCCAAGTTAAGAGGTAGTCAGGAAGCTGGGCCCTTAGCATAATAAACCTGGGTAAAGAGGAGCTATGGTAAGATAGATTTAGCTAACACTCATTGTCATAAGATAATGTTGCCAAGAAACCAGGCATGGGGGCAGCCGTTTGAGGTCAGCCTTTGGGGTTAACATTGTCTAAAAGGTGATTGTAAAACTGCCCTCGTAAACCCTGTAAAAATGGTATAAAAACTGCTCTTAGCTTTAGCTCGGAGTTCCTCTAGCCTGAGTTCAGGGGAACCCCAGTGCACTGGTTATCAATAAACCTCTTGCTTTTGCATTGAATCCCCTGTCCATGAGTGTTTCTGCGGGAGTGTGTCCCCTGGTTTGGATCTTAGGGTCCAACAAAAGCAAAACTCAACTTGCAGTAGAGACACCAGGATGTTGGAGACGCCAGAATTATGAGATGTCTGCCAAGGATGCACGTATGGTGTAGAGTTGACTTAAGAGAAAAGCTGTGAGGCTGGAGAGATGACTTGCTTAAGAGCACTTGCTTCTCTTACAGAGGATCTGAGTTTGGTTCCTAGCACCTCTGTGACAGTTCAAATCTGTCTATAACTCCAATGGAACTCTGCTTCCAAGGGAGGATCCAATCCAATGTCTTCTAGAATCTGTGGGCAGTGTGTGTGTGTGTGTGTGTGTGTGTGTGTGTGTGACACTTGTATATATGCAGGCAAAACATTCATACACAAAATTAAGAAAATTTTCATTTAAAGAGAGGTTTGTGTCCTTCAGACAGCAGAGAAAGAGGGGGCAGGAAAACCTAAGCCTGTTAGAGCCCAGATAATTTTATCATGAGTTCTCGATGACTAACATGGAGTTGCAGAATGTTATGTTTGCTTTGCTGGGATTTGGCCTCATCTTTCCTTATTTCTGCCTTTTGGAGTGAGAACATTCACTCTGTGCCATCATATTCTGGAACTATGTAATGAATTTTCTGTTGTTATAGGGCCTCACAGTTAAGAGATTGCCTTAGTCTCAGAAAAGACACTTTTCACTAGCATTGGGGTTGTCAAAGATTATGGGGACTTTTGAAGTTGTACTAAATGCATCTGTACCATGAGATGGCCATGATCCTAGGTGGGAGGTAATTTTTAATAGTAACATTGACTGTCACGTTGACAAGGGGTAGAGTTGTGAAGAAGGTTAATTTTGTCACTGGATGGGATTTACAGAGGTCTTGGAGACAAATCTTTAGGCATGTCTGGGAGTAATTTTCTAGATTAAGTTAACTAAAATGGAAAAAACTCACCCTAACTTCCAAACCAGATGGAAAAAGGGAGCGGAGCGTGCTTCTCTCTTTGCTTCCTGTCTACAGATGCAAACTGACCTGCTACCTCAGGTTCTGCTGTCATAAATCCTCTGCCACAAGGGACTATAAGCTGGAACTGTGAACCAAAATAAGTCCTTCCTTAAGTTGTTTGTGCCAGGGTATGGTCACAGCATAGGACAAATGACTCCTATACCAGGGGAACACAGCACAACATCCAAAACATACATGGTATAAATGCCTTAAACATCCGTGGTATGCCTTAAATGCTTATCAGCTAACTATTGCCCTGCTACTCAGCATTACCCAACTTTCCTCACATGCTATCCTGGCCCTTCCAAATCTACCTCCTTATCTCAAAGCAGCTTACCAGTCCATTTTTGTTAGATTTTGGCGCGTAGCTCGGAACAGATCACAGCAGACCAGACGGTTCCACGAGAGGAGGTGGTTTATTCAGGGCAGAGGGCAAAGATGGGGAAAGAAACGGGAGAAGATGGTGGAGAAAGAGGAGAGAGAGAGGAGAGAAGTGGAGGCTGGCCATGACCATGTGGAGAGAGGGGGAAGGGAAGGGGGAAGGGCGAGGGGACAGAGAGAAGCTAAAGGCAAGAGAGTAAGAGAGTAAGAGAGAGAGGAGAGGCAAGCAGCCCCCTTTATAGTGGGCAGGCCTACCTGGGTGTTGCCAGGTAACTATGGAGGTGGGTTTAGACAGAATGCTAGAAATTTTCCCATTCCTCTCTGTACAAATAGTCAAGATCTTGTAGCTTAGGTGTATTTGCTTAGACATGCAAGTGTTTCTGTGTAGGGTTGAAAAAATTTATGCTATCCCTTTACCTTTGGATCATAGCTTCTTGATGTGAATGGCAGGGTTTTGTATAAGATAAACAATAAGCTTTTTCAGTCTTGAAATTCTTTGATTTCATGTATCATAGCCAGCTTTCCTCAAAATATATGCTAGAAAATTAGACTAATAAAATTGAGTCAGTGCCAAAGACCATTCTATGTAACGTTCTAAAGTTAGCAACACCACACACACACACACACAGAGAGAGAGAGAGAGAGAGAGAGAGAGAG